AGCTGGCAATTTTATAAGCAGCTATACCTTAGGTGTGAAGTAAGTGTAAATAAGATATAAGTATAATACGGGAAGGTATAGGTACTTATAGCGGTAAGTATATTAGGCATATAGGAAGGTATAAGGTACTAGGTGTAGGAAGTACCCAACGTATATAGGCCTACTTAAGTATAGCGTACCCCCTGTATATTAGCTTCCACTCTCCCCTCTTCTAGATTATTAGACTATACAATATAATTGCAGTACATTTGCACCACAGTCCCACCACGTGCTTACAGCTGGTTTAGGTGACGGCATCGCCTATCCGACGTTCCATTCGTCGATGCAGCTACGGTTGTGCTTCCCGTTGTAGACAAGCGGACATTGCACTGACCCAGGTTGCCCAGTCATTTGCTGGAGGAAGGAGCACAACAAGGGACAGAGACAGGAACAGGAACAGCTGCCGTGGTCGTGCCCGTACGTGGGAGGAATTTGCGGTCCGTGCAACGTGCAACGAGCGAACTTGGTCACGCCAACAGGACCCCCAACCCAACACATACCATTTCAGTTGTACCACAACTTCCACTCATTTCAGTTTCTTCGACACCCAGACGGGAGGTCGGGTCACCCTCCATCTCAGCATTCTTGAGCGTCATCACACATTTCAGGCGGCACCCGCCCGGCCGGCCAAGGCGAAAACCACAACAAACCTAACCAGGTCGCAACGTCGCGAAGCCCAACTCTTTGTCGACACCAAAAGACCTCGTCGCCGTCCCCATTCTCATTCTCCCGTCCTAGCAAACCCGCTTGCTATCGACGACTGGGATATTCCCCCCTAATTCCACTTCACTCTAATTATTACCACTCTCGTTTGAACCCGTCTAAAAACGGCCCTCGCTTTCAAGATCGTCGTCCGGACCTGGAGCGAGATCTCACCTAATTGACGTCGGCGGCAACTTCCACTACTCGAACCACCACGCGCTCGGTCCCCACCTTATCGCGAACTGTTCAGCTGTTTAGGTACTCACCATCGTGGTTATGGCCTTCCGACCGTAGCAATTTTTAACCCCGATTACCACGACCAAGAGCAGTATATGTGCTCCCCCCGGTCGGCAACCGCTCTCTCAACCACATAAACTTACCCGGAACCGCGATGCGACTACCTTTTCGCCGGCGCAACGATGCGCGCGGCCAGTCTCTCTCTCCGATAGCAGTCCTTCTCACCTTATCCTCAGTCGCGCTATCACCCGTCACTGCGATATCGTTTACCCCCGCGCCCGCGACAAACCTTGACCTCAAGGACCTTGGTCGGGTAGCCCTTGCTGGCGACTTTTCGGGAATATCTCTCTTCCAGTTCGAGGAACAAAATGAGCGACCTTTCATAACAAATGGCAGCCAGTCGCTCATGGCGCGCATGCCCAACGGCATTTTCGGCCCTGTTGTCACCACAGATGCGACCATCCTGACCATGTGCACGTTTGTGGAGGGCAACGGGAAGGAGGATGGAGTGATTATTGGCGGCAATTTCACGAGTTTGCAACTGCCGACACACGGAAGCGAAAGTCCCAACTATAAAGAGTCCAAAGCGATAGCGCTGTTCAACCCAAACACGTCCAGCATCGAGACGTTATCAGGTCTAGAAGGTCAAGTCTATGCTGTGCTATGTGACCGTGACACCAACTCGGTATACGTGGGTGGAAATTTCGTCGGCAAAGACTCTAGGAATGCGATCGCGTGGGTTGGGGGACAGGGATGGACGGATTTGCCATTTAGGGGGTTTAATGGACCTGTCAACTCCATAACGAAGGCATCCAATGGTCATATCATCTACGGAGGAAGTTTCACAGGTCTGGGAAACGCGACTGCGCCGACTAAGCGCGATGGCCAAGTTATCAACCTCTCCTCCGCCACCATCTCAGCCGGCTCTTCGACAACCAGGGAGGGGTTCAGTGATCCCAACAACATTGTGTGCAGCACTAGCGGAACCGATGGGACAGGCAAGACATGGTTATTGCAGGAGAACTCACCGGGATTCTGGCAGGCAACGTTTAGATACGGTTTCCGGCCGACAAAGCTTCGCCTATACAACACCCACCAGGACGGTGCTGGAACAAAGACATGGCGATTCACTGCGCTACCCATCAACGGCATCATGAACATGACCTATGTCGACCCAGTCACGAACAAGAACGCTACTTGCACAAGCGAATGCCCACTAAGCAACAATAAGACTACCAAGTTCCAGGATTTCCACTTCGTCAACGTCATCGGCATGAACGAGTTTCGTATCGATATCTCGGACTATTACGGAAGCGGTGGAGGTTTGAACGGGATCGAGCTATTTGGAGAGGATATTTTTTCGTACGCGATCAACGACTTCAACGAGCCTACTTGTGCAAATCTTGAGTTCAAGTCGTCGTCTACTGCCACAGGCCCTTGGCAGGTCACCCCTTCTCACCAGAGTACCGCCGAATACCTGACTGCTCAAATATCTGCACCCATTACCAATACCTCAGCCCAGGTCGTTTTCTCGCCGGATATCAGGGAATCAGGCTACTACTCCGTCAACTTATACACGCCCGGATGTCTCCAGGATGACACATGCGCGAGCAGAGGACAGGTTCATCTTACAGGTCAAATGACTGCCGACCCTACCAAGAGTGACCCAGTCGACAAAACGCTGTACCAGACAAACAACTTCGACAAGTACGATCAGATTTATTATGGCATGGTTGATGCGAGCTCGTCAAGCTTCCGGCCCCAAATCACCTTGACGCCACTTGCCGGGCAGGACTTGGCCAATATTACTCTCGTCGCCCAAAGCATCGACTTTACCTTGATTAACAGTACGGGTGGCCTGAATGGGTTGTTTGAATACACGCCTGGCCGACCTGTGAATGTTAGCGACTTCACGGCCTCGGCTGTTAATCGTCTTGGATCGAGCTTCTCTGGTAAATCCGCTGTCAACGCTCTCGCCACCTCTGGCGATACCGTTTTCGTTGGAGGCAACTTCACCTCGCCATCTGCTGACCACGTTGTTGCCCTGAACACCAAGGACTCGACAAACAAGACACTGGATGGCGGACTCAACGGCGAAGTTAAATCGATGATTTTGGACGGCACCACATTGTACGTTGGAGGAAGTTTTAACAGCACTTCCGTGAAGTCGGTAGACGGTCTCAACAACGTTGCCGCCTACGACACTGAGAAGAACACGTGGAGCCCCCTTGGTGCTGGTGTTAACGGCAACGTCATGCGCGTTGTTGGCTTGACGATGAACATCACTGGGTCAACCCCGGAGTTTGTCGTGAGCGTCAACGGCGACTTTGACGAGCTGAATGCCTTTGACAAGAACCCTGCTGTTTCCGTAACTGGTTTCGGCATCTGGGTGCCTTCACAAAAGAACTGGGTTCAAAACCTGGATCTCCAGTTGGAGTCGATTGATGGTGTCCTCTCGACTTCCATCCTTGATCGCTCTGGAAACGGTTCCCTATACGCCGGCTCATTGATCTCGTCGACACTCGGTGTAAGGGACATTGCGGGCTTCGGAGATAGGCTCAGCGGTTTTCCCATCAAGATCCAAGCCCCCACGAAGTCGTCTAGCTCTAGTTCGTTGGCTAAGCGTGATGGTTCGGTAAGCGATAGCAGCCTGCAAGGAGTCGTCACAGGCATCTTCGACCAGGAGAACAAGAGGAATCTTACCATTCTCGGTGGTCACTTCACTGCAACCGGTAGCGGATCTGCGATTAATAACCTCCTTATTATGGACGGCCAAAAGAACAACGAAGTCTCTGGTCTTGGTGATGCCATCTCACAGGATTCCACCGTTATGGCCTTGGCTGTGCATAATGATATCCTGTTTGCCGGTGGCAACATTACCGGCACAGTCAATGGGAACGAGGTGAAGGCATTGGTCACTTACAACCTTGCGAACAAGTCCTTCAACCCGCAACCCCCTTCCCTGACAGGTGGCAACGGCACCGTCTCTTCCATTGCTGTTCGTGACGACACAGACGATGTCTACGTTGGAGGTTCCTTTACTCAGGCGGGCTCTCTCGATTGTCCCGGCGTCTGCTTCTTCAGCACATCCTCGTCGCAATGGCAACAAGCTGGCCAAAACCTCGGAGGAACCGTCAACACCCTCCTATGGGTCGATGAGAACCTGCTCCTTGCCGGCGGCAACCTCACCATCAACAACACCGCCTCAACCTACCTGGCCACTTACAATCCCAAGACCCTGGTGTGGGACGCTTATCCTGATGCCGGCCAGCTCCCTGGACCGGTCGACGTTCTTACTGCCGGCACCAGCGACAACAAGCAAATATGGGTATCAGGAACCGCCTCCAACGGCTCGGTCTACCTCATGAAGTCCGAAAAGGACGATGGATCATCCTGGCATTCCGTTGGCCAGACCCTGCAGCCCGGCACCAAGATCCGTGGTCTCCAGATCTTCCAGCTCAGCGAGTCCCATGACAAGCACCCCCTGATCGACGACAAGGCAGCCCTCATGCTCACTGGCCACATCGTCCTGCCCGACTTTGGCTCAGCCTCCGGCGTCCTCTTCGACGGCGCGAACTTCAGGCCATTTGCTCTGACCACCAACTCCGGTAACAGTCCAGGCTCGCTTTCCACTGTCTTTTCCGAAAAGCAGAACTTCTTCGGCAAGGATGGCAAGCACCTACCACTGGTATTTGTCGTTCTCATCGGCCTCGGCATCTCACTCGCCCTCATGCTTCTTATCGTCGTGGCCGGTTTAATCCTCGACAGAATCCGCAAGAAGCGCGAGGGTTACGTGCCCGCTCCGACGTCCATGTATGATCGCGGCAGCGGCATCCAGAGGATACCACCGCATGAGCTGCTGGAGGGGCTAAGTAAAAGTCGATCTGGCGCGCCTCAGATGTAAAAGGGCACAGGGTGGGTGGATAAAATGGGGGTTTAAGGGGTTATTAGATGGTTTCGGTCGTCAATCAGTCAGAGGAGGAAATACCACAACTTTTGCATCGGGGTTTTACTAGCATTCTTGTTCATTCTTTGTCATTATCAATCATCAAGCGTTAATATTCCCCTGGGTTTGACAAAACTATTAGTTCTAAGCAGCAGGCAGCAACTGGTAGCGGCAGCGGCATGGCGTTCTTTTTATGTGCTCTCTCCCTCTCCTTTTTTATGTTCCTTTTCTACATTTACAAAGTTTGGGTGGGGTGCTTTCTCCGCAAGCACACCCACAGTATGGTTGGGTTGTTAGATCAAAATGGTACCTACAAAGCTCAGACATGGTCCATTGGGAAAGAGGTTGTCGTTCAAAGATGAGGAACTCTAATATACCACAACAACTGGCTTCCTTTGTCTTATGTGTGTTCAGGTGTTGGGCAGATATTCCCCTATGTGTTGTGGTGTCATTGTGTGAATAGGTGGATGGCCGAGAGCCGATGTCTGGAACGACGGTGTGTCCGAGTCAACGGCGATGACGTGATGGTAAGGGGGACGACAAGTTGAGGGGCTTCTCCCTCTCCATTTGTGGTACGAGACACATATCTCAAAAAAAATTCCTTCCCTCGTCCTTCTTCTTTCTCTTCTATAGGGCTGCATCTACAGCAAGCCAGTTTCCACTCACCAAGTGTGGCGTGGTAATCTTCTTTTCAAGTACATAATGTTTAACTTCGCATCAAGGGAGGCATCTACTTTCCATATCTTTTCCTTTGTTCAAGACGAGCTCGTTCGAAAATGTTCAAGTTAGAAATCGAGATTGGCAGTACAAGGGAGGAGGATTGGACGTTCATGAGGATATGAGGGACATCAAAAGCGAACATGTATGTAACGTCAAGCCTGAACATTCAGATTCGAAACATATGGAACCGTGCTCTTACCGGACGCAATGTCCTCGATGTTAACCAGATATGGTGTGTGATACGGTCGACTGCAGCATCAAACCCTTGGTGCCGTGGTGCGTTGGTCGACGTAGTGCGGAGGAGGAGGGGGGTTAACAGGATGTCAAATGTTAAGATTGGCTCGCTTTCGGCTTTTGTCCACCGGCCCAATAATACAAAGTTAGCCTTATGGAGAATCAGTCACTGATTCCGGAAAATGTTACTTGATGGTAATGAAACAGGGTTGTTGACCAGGAGGATGAGACGGTGTTCTCGAAGGCGTGATGCACAATTGTGCTCGGTCCAGAATCCTTTTTCAGTTTTTGGCTATATAACTAAAAAATCTGAGCATTACTTCCAACAAATCACGGCAGCTCAACAAGCTGCCCGGCTAGCTCAATCGGTAGAGCGTGAGACTCTTAATCTCAAGGTTGTGGGTTCGACCCCCACGTCGGGCTCAATTCCCGTCGTAAGACTTTCTTTTTTCCATCTTTTTTTGTCTGATCCTGAGTAATTCTCCTTTTGCTGGTGTTCTTCGTGCTTGTCTTCTTTCATTTTAAACGGTGTTCGTTGGGTTGTCGAATTGTTTTTTTCTTCTTCAGTTGTCACAACGAATCCTGTGGAGACGGAGTTCAAACACAGTTTTGTCTGCCTGTGTTTATCACGCATTGCATCATGCAGTGATTGCAGACAGACACTCCACAATTTTCAAGTGGAAAATGAATGTCATTGTCAGAAAAAAATTCTTTCGATGCATCAGCTTCGTCTTGATCACGGACCGGTGGTTTTGGCAGTTGCAAGACGCATTGGACCGCGCTTTCCCTTGGCGAGTACAGAAGGAAAGAAAGACCCGTGAACAACTTGTTCGGCAGAAGCAAGTGCTGACACCCGTTCGTTGTCGTTTGCTCCGTCTGCTTGCCACGACTGCTTATGTGCCGTCGGCATCAATCTATTTGAGAGCCGGCAGTGACGGGGTTTGATTGATGGTGGGACAGAGGAAGACAGTAATATCAGTCACTCTCTCTCGTGACCTCTCTGTTCACCTCTCAGCTCTTCTCATCTCACTCGCTTCACATCCCACTGCACCGTCATTACAGACTTATCCTGCTTTGACTTCCGAGTCATTACCACTTGGAGATGCAGTGACCCTAGACCGGAAACAATTACCCATACTACAGTACCCTTCACGGTTTGCTGTGGGTTGTGATTGTGGGCTACACAATCCCATGTATCCGCCAGGGCTTCTCCTTTCATTCTCCGCGGCTTCTCAACGTCAGCTCTTGTTTTTGTTCCGTTGTTTCCAGATTTACATCGTCAGTCCCTTCCGTTCAGAAACGAACAGGATTTGTAAAGCCCATTCGACATCGCCACTGCCGTCAACTTGAAACTCGCAGGGCAGGCAGTAGCTCTTGCCGTGAGAGCATCGCGACTTCCTCCCACCACCAGACTACTGCACGCCAATTCCGCTAGCCCAGGGCCGCATCTTGTATGGAAGGAGACCTTATGGTTTTCCCCTCAGAAACCGTTGTGAGCTATCAACGGTGGAGCAACCGTTCTTCCCCTACAACGGTTGTGCCTTCCTAACCGCCCAACAACCGTAAGTACCCAGGCCCATCATCTGTTAGTGGCAGCAAACTTTTCCATAGTTAATTTGATCCCTCTACTACCCCTTCTAACAGATCCTGATCTGTGGTACTTGTTATCCGTTCTCTGCTCTGACTGTTTCCATCGTCCAGGTTCAGTTAGGTTGGTACTGCAGTGCCGTGACTTCTCAGTCCTCATCTTTCTCAGCCGGCTCGGGAGGGCTCTAAAAGCGTCGGCCACGGAACTGAACGCCGCAGTCGAGACACTGACACCCGTGCTTTCTAGGTAATCTTGAACGCCCCCCTCTGTTCACTTCCGTTGATGATCAAAAGAAGCCAACCGAATGGCACCAGACCTCATCACTGGCTTTGAGTTATCATCGTGCGCATACTTTGTGAGGCCGAGAGTCTAGTGCTCTGCTGACATCCAGTCAGTGCTGTAAGGTTCGGGCGTAGTACCTCCGGTTCTATCTGGATGCGATTTACCATGTCATTAGAAGAGCTGAGCTGCAAGTTTCAAGCTTTGGGAACGAAAGTGGCAGTAGGTAGTCTCTTCCACAATCATGTCGTCTGTGGAAGTGCCTAGACGAGCACGCTATCAGAAATGGCCATGTTTCTTTAACAACAACGAGATCTCCTTGGAGTTCAAGTTCCGTGATGAACAGTAGTGTATCTTTTGTTTCTTCAACACAATCTGGTCCAGTCGCTCTTCAGTCTTCACTGTTCATCCAGTGTCGTCGCTGCATGTGGATGGCCTTTTATCAACCACTATTCCCGAGCTCGTGTCCGTAACAGACAAACAACCTACTATATGTTGGTAGTTACCCATCATGATGCCTCAGTACCGAACCAGATACTTACCATCAACATAGCCGCCCCCCTTTCAACCGGTCAACAAAAACTCTGGACTCTCTTGGCTTTCTGTGTCTTCCCATAAGTAAGCAGTGGCGGCGCCCCCTTCAAGCCTCCCGCTATCCTCCTTCCTCTTTTGACCTTCTCGCATTCTTGATGGGGCGGGGAATATGGAAGAAGTCGAGAGGTAGATACTAGGCGAGTGGTTGGATTAGGGATGCGAGGACGCGTGATGAAGCGCAAGCTGACAACCTGTATGTACCCAGCTGCAATGCCGACAGAATACGCAGGTTGACATTGGCATCCTTCGGTAGCTGTCATGTCTGTGTGTATATAGATATGTATGTAGAGTTATCTACGTGTGTACCTCTATGCATGTACCTAGGGTAAATCATCACATATCAGACGCATATGCTATTCCTATGCAACTGTATGTAGGAGCTCAGGAAGTACAGGGAAATTCTGCATATACTACAGGACGACTCCTCCGCCGCGAGACACCGCATTCGAGAGGATGGTGTTGGTGTTTCCCCGGGCAATTGTCCACGGTCTACCCTAGTGTAGCCTGTACCGTGAGGGGAGGTTTTACGATTTCCCCTCCAGGAGTAACCGAAGGTAGGTAAGTAATGCCAAGTACGTCGTCTCAGGATTATGTCCACATTTCATGGATTATAGGGACACATACTCATAGTTGGTTGGATGTGAAGCCATCTACATAGGATGCGTGGCACACATCCACACCCGTGCTGTATCTCAAGCTCCTACTGCCGTAGTACAGCCTCAAGAAAGTGACTCGCTCCCCTTTCATCTCATACATCTCCAGCTACGCTGCTGACTACATTCATGTTCGTATGCACGGGGTAGATATCTCACTCCTTGGTGCCGGCTTGCCGCTTCCCCTCGTTCGTGCTGCCGGCCACTTCCCCCGGCCACTAAATATCTTGAATTCCAACTTATCACTGCCTTGACTCATGTACACTACTGCCTGCTGAGTGGCAAAGACACAGGAAGATGGTTATGGATGATAATGACGACGATAGGTGGATTACAGCATTACTCCACTACATGTTCTCTCGAGTCTCGACGATACAACCTACTGGCCAACAAACTTGGTGAAAAGTACATACTAGCCAACATCGCGGTTGGATGATATGGGGAGACACTGCGGTAGATCACGGTGATAGAGACCAAGTAAAGAGACAGAAGATGGCCGAGCTAGTCGTCTAGTAACATGCAACTGTCTGGCAGAAATCATCATCATGCAGTCGAAGCTGAAGTGTTGACATCCGTCCGGTAGACTCTCCAGCAAACCCCGCTAACCCACTCCAAGAGGACACTAACAAAGGGGAACTAAACCTTATCCAGACAAGACCAATGCAGGAAGGGAGCCCGGCTCACGGGCGCGCAGCGATGCGCAGGGCGGGAGGCGGTTGGGGTGGGCAATTATCGTATGATTTCGACGTAAGGTTGAGGGGTCCCCTTGGTCCCCCCGGGTCCTCAAGTACCGGTAGGGTGGATGCCAAAAAGGAGCGAAAAGGAGTGGTCGACTGGTCGGGTCCGGTTGTGAGATTGGCGATTTGCATTTCGATTGCATGTGCGCGCCTGATGAAGGGCTGGAGCTAGTCGGATGGGGTCTACCGATACGTAGGATCTTCGCCATTTTGTGGTTTTACAGTTTCCCGCAGTACCTACCGCCTGGCAGTTTTTCTGCCCTACCGAGCCTACTATGGTGAGATGGGTAAGTAAAACGCGTGGGTCAGGTCGCTGACGATCTCTGGCACTCGAGTGGCCATACAGAGCCACGAAGCTTTGCTTGTACTGGTCCGTGCCCGGTACCTGACAAGGGGGTTTTACTTTGGCTCGCAACCGCAGTATAGTTACCAAGTTGGAAGTTAGTACGTGTTACGTACGTACCCCTCTCTCTGTCTTCCAACCGCGACCTTTCTTTCACCTCCTCCTCAGGTGCTGCTTGGTGTAGAGAGAAGATTTCAGACCTATCGTATGCAAGCAGCTGTACACATATCCCCACGGCGGCTTTTGGACAAGTAGCTTGTAGAGTGTCTCCAGCGGTGATGTTGTCCAAGAGATTTTGAAGTCTTCTCTATACTAGACGGAAGAGAAGAAAACTCTGAGTCTGGGTACCACTATCACCTGAGTATTACCAGGCTGAGCCTAGTAAATCAGTATATTGGCAAAGTCTCACTGCCGAGAAAAGCCGTAGTGGATACACGCCCGCTTCCAAA